TATATTTTTTTCATAATTCTTAAATATATATGTAATATATTACATACATTTTTATATATTTATAACTATGAAGTTTACAGTGTACAGTTCCTGCTGAGTGAAAACAGGAGCTTTGACCTGTACTTGGAGCACCAGCGCTTGCGTCTGTACAAAATGTCGGAGTATTCTTGGTGGTACCTGCATGAGGCCCTTGAATACAAAGCTTCCTGAAGCATTTCGGGAGTCGTCGTTCAAAGAAAATTAAACCACAGATGGTCACACCTCCAATTTAATTCGCAGTGTGCTCAGGAGAGAGTTCATAGCTTGAATACAAACTAAAATTGGAGACGGGTGATGTGGATTCCACCTCACTGAAAACTGGATTCTCAACGTGAAGAGGGAAGCTTTGGTATCAGAAAACAAGTTTTTCCTCTCCCAACTGAATGAACATGACACGAAGTTCCCCTTTTTGTACAGATGCCAGACTAGCTTTCTGCTCTGGAGATGACATAATCGGGGATGGAAAACATGAATTCTTTCAGATAACACCTGTTGGAATCCCATCAGTCAGGATGGCCGGTGCAAGATGTAGTCAAAACATTTCCATTCCACAATGATCTTATACCAGTTACGGTAGCTCGGGAATGATTTCTGAGCTATAGAGTCCATCATGAGGCGTGGGACTGAATCCCCATTCCAGTCCTTTTTTGGGTGGCTGGCGGAACCAGTCCCATCCAGCACGCGAAGTCATGGTGTAACCAGAGACTGTGCAGGTCAGCTGGAAAGATGCTCCAGGCTTCCATGTCCCCTCACCGGACTGGGTCAAGCGAATTTCTGAAAAGCCTAGGGGAAAATTTTTTTAAAAAATTAAAATAGATAGGAGCAGTTGCAGCTGGCCTTCAGCAATGGTAGAATCATTTATTTTGCCCCACATTATTTTTTTCCTTGTTGTAATCTCTCCATAGAAAATGGAAACTCCCACATACCTGGCTTAAGGAATGAAAAGAGAAACAGAAAGACAGTTACAGGTTCCATTGTGATAACTAGGGTTGGCTGTGAAGGGGTGGGAACCTCTATTTAAAGAGTGAGGTAGCCCATGAGCCTATTTGCATATGGAGAATAGGCTTCCCATTCAGACATTAAAGAGGCGTTAATAATTTCGAATGGAATCCGTTACCTCTCTCTTAATTCCTCTGTCAAAGAGGCACAGTGATTAATCGGATCCCCACCCTCCGGCTCTACAGGCAGATACTTAAACCACAGGTCTATCCAGCTGTTTGCAATGGTTTGTGATTGGGATATTTAGGGTACAAATGGAATTTTCAAAAATAACGGGCAATAGCAGCTTAGAAATAAATTTCTCATGGGGGATTTCTAAATGAAATGGACCTCTTGATGGGTACAATCTCCTGATGTTGGCTTCCAGTCAGAGCAAAGTTTATTTGTTTTATTTTATTTATTTATTTTATTTATAACCCGCCTATCTGGTCTACTCAACCAGTTGAGTCACAGGAATCACCTGAGACTGCTGAGAAGACATCATGTGAAAAATAACATACCACGCTCCTTGTTTTGGCCCTTTCCGATGCAGGTGGAAGTTCTGTGGCTGCAAGTGTACTTCACTTTGGAAAAAATAATAATTGTTCATTATACAATTTTAATTGTATGTTAATTGTATTTTAATTGTATTTTAGTCATTTTATTGTATTGAATTTTAATTATTGTAAGCTGCCCAGAGACCTCTGGGTAGAGTGGGCGGCATATAAATAAATAAATAAATAAAT